CTATTTTACTAGTTGATTATGGAAGTGGCCAGAGAAGCCCGACGTGTTGGACTACAAATGGAATGCTGTAGTTTCTCATATTAATGAGCCCACCAAAGCAAGCAGAACTCGTAATGTTTATTCTGTTCCTGAGTTGAATGTTTTATTCAATTAATTTGGTTAATTTCGTCGTTTTATTGTTTAAATATGATTTGTACTGCTTATTGTTAAAATTAAACGATAATAAACTGATTTCCAGCATTAGTCTTTTAACCTTGCTTCGAATATAAGTGGTCAACTACTAACGAAAAGAGGTGGTCAATTACTAGTTTTTTCCTTTTCAAGAGTGGTCAACTACTGGATCATTTTCCGAATTCTCAAAAATATTTACCAAACTTGTATAACTTAACTTTTTTTAAAAAGTGGTCTTGGTACATAATCTGAAGGGTTTAACGAACGTCTCCATGCATTGATTCTCGCCATTTATTGATAAAGTAAAGGGTTACCATTGTTTCCGTAGAAAATTTCTCTTAACTGGTCAACTACTGGTACCTTTACCTTAGTAATTCCACGCGTGGGAACTCCACGCATGGTGTTTCGACGCGTGGTAATTCCACGCGTTGTAACTCCACGCATGGTGACACAGTATACTAAAAAAAAAATAATGCAACGATGACGTAAATATATCATAATTCAAATTATCAAAAAATTTTAAAGATTTGCAAAAATAATTTATTTCGTTTTTGATACAATTTCCGTGAACATGTCAGTGCACCGTTGCTCACATTTCAGGAAGAGTATCTTCGACAGGAAATTCTTTTTTCTAAAACGCGTTACAGACAACTTGGTGCAAGCTCGAAGAAGCTGGAACTTGCTGGCGGAAAAGCGATCCGTACGCGAGTCACGAAACTCTCTCGGAGCGAAACAATTGGAATTACTAGGGTGCAATTGTACATTGTTGGCAGAAACACCCTGTACATTCTTCGTGAGCTTTAAATGCAGTGCAATGCGGCGTTTCGATTTTCGTCTATTTTACGCGGCTACATTGTTCCGCGGCGGCTTTTCTTTCCGAAAGACAACAGTTTTATTTTAATTATTCATTTGTTACTTTGCAATTCTGTATGAACGTTGCGTAACAACGAATAATAAAAATACCGTATAGACTCATGTTTTTTAACGAGAAGT